CAGCAGCAGTTGCCAAAGGAAAGCAGGAAACAGGCTGTATCAGGGCAAAAGACAAACTTTATTGTTTCTTGGAGGTGTCAGGCTGGGCTGGGCTCAGTGTCCTCCCCCAGAACAGAGCGGGGCGCCGTGGCTGTGATTGTGGTAGTCCGTGGCTATGACTCCCAACACCAACAGAAACTCGGAAAAGTCGATCTTCTTATCCTTATTCTTGTCCTCATCCTCAAAGATATGGGCCAAGAAATCTTTGCCCTTTTTTTCCTGTGGAAAACGTAAATTCAGTTCCAAAAGTGTTATGGGTGGAATAGGAGGAGGAGGCAGAATGGGGGAGTGAAGCATCTGGGGCCGCAAGGGGGAGCTGGTGTGGGCCAGTGGAGGGTGTCTGGGGATGAGAGGGACATTAGCACTAACCTGTAATTCACTGAAGGATTTTCCTTGGATCAAGTATCAGCATAGAGACCTAGTGGTGGTTTGCACACTCAGCCCAGAGCCTCACTGATCACTGAGCTGGTGGGTGGGGGGTCTTTAGACCCAGACCTGCTTCCCCAATTCACTTCCATGACACCATCTACCTACATTCTGTGTCACCTAGTAGCCTCTCTTTTTGTAATCAGTTCAGTGCATTCTGTCAGACTAAATCAGGTCTATGAATGAGCTCTTTCATTGTAATGAAAGGTGTTAAGTTTTATCAGCCATGGGATTGCTATCACCTTCCCTTGGGTCTCAGAGAACCGAATGGAGGCTCCTAGAGGCAAAGCCTGAGCCTCTGGGCTTCAGTCTCCTGGATAGACAGTGACAAGTGGGAGGGGACCCGTTCTTTACTCTCCTACTTCACTACCTGATAACTACCCTTCATCTCCAGATGCCTTTACACTTGGCCACATGTATCATCTCTTTCATCCTGATAATAAGTCAGGAGAGTCCTCTTAGGCCTTTTTGCAGATGAGAATATTGAGGATCAGAGAATGGGATTGACTTGTCCCAAGTCCTCCGCCATGCCAGGGCCCAAGCAAGCTGGAGAAGTCACCCAGACTCACACAAGCCTTGAGGAAGTTAGGGAAATTCTCCTTCAGCATCTTCAGCAGGCCGGGCTTGTCAATCTTGTCATCAGGTTTGGTGTATTTGTGGAACAGGACGATCAAGTCCTCCACGGACTGTTCAACTGGAGTGTGGCTCATCTTGGTTTTCAAGGAAGCTGCCAGAGAGAAAGACAGGGACCTTTGTTATCCTTTTTCCCAGGTGAAGGTCCCTAAGTCAGGACAAGGGTGGGAACTGAGAATCCAGTGAAGTGAGCCTCAGTTGGGAGCAGAAGGAGCTATATCATCATCCTAGGAGGTGGGATGAGATCCTCACAAGGAGGAGAGTGTGACCAAGGCTGGGGCCTGGTCCCATGCAGGTCCGGGCCCAGAGGAGGTAGGGAGAATACAGAAACCCACCTTGGGCGGAACCACAGGAGGCAGAAGCAGAGAGGGTAGGGGTCAACCACATGGAGAAGGACTGACATTTCGTTGGGACCTGAGCAAACACAGCATTTGGATGACTCTACTCTTTAAGAGCATCAGAACCATCTCCTCCAGGGTCAACATCAGTGTTAGAGTCATGGGGACAAAATAACTTCCTGAGGAGTCTGGCCTGAACTGCCCTGGGCTGCTTTTGGAATGAGTCCCCTGAGGTGACCATTGTTATCATAAAGCAAGCTCTAAATGAAAGGAGGCCTGGAGGCTCCCAGTGGTGAGTGTGAGTAGGATGGTGAGTGTGAGCAGAGATATACAGCCCTGTCCTGAGCTCCCACAAGGTTTCCTGGACCATCCCCACCAGATTAAAGAAGGACTGCTGACCAGTGTTGGCATCATGTTTGAAATGAACAGAAATACCTGCCTCAGTTTTAGGCTATTGGGTGGAAAGTGGGGAGATAGGCTCCTTCAGATGACCTTTGTACCTCCCTGCTCTCTGGAACCCCAAGGCTAGACCACATTTAAGTAAAGAGGTCTGACTTCCCCAAACCAGTACCTGCACCCACAGTCTGGACCCCAAGCAGAGAAATCGTACAGTGCAGCCCTCACATCTCAGACAGACTTTCAAACCTCTAAAGAAATGTGTATGGCTCCCATGTGTGGGCATCTAACAAAAACTGCCATTGTCTCCTGATCTGGGAGAAAGATCCTCCCTGTTATGTCCCTAAGTGCAAACACCTAAGGCCATCTGTCAACTTGGCCAAGGACTTAGCTGAGCCCTGGACACAGAAGGTCACTGGCCATTCCCTCAGCTGGGAACAAGGTTCAAAACCTAAGTGAATGGGTCCTTGATCCATGTAATGGCAGGTCTTCTCACCAGGGCATAGTGAGTTGGCATCCCAGGCCTGGATTTAGGAGAATCTTTAAGACTTTGGGAGAGCCACCCACTCTTCCCAGAGGTTGGGTTGCAAAGTCCATGGTCAGAGAGTCAGATGATTCCAGGAGTAAAAAAGACAAGGATCAGAGGAAGGTTCATATACTGAGCTCCCACCAAGTAAGTTTCAACAGAGTTGGCACAGAAGAGCCAACAGAGCAATGGGAGCATCAGTACAGACATCTTGTTGAAGATAGGACCTAGGGACCAAGTGGGATCAAGTCGAAAGACCCCATAACAGGCAGAGTTGAGACTGGATACAGGTTCCTGAATCCGTTCCCATCACTGATTTTCCTACTCCTGGACACAGAAAAACAAAACAGTTAGGTGCAGACTTACCGGAGCTGATGAGGTGTCACTGAGGAGAAGGTGAGTGTGCTGTGCATCTGGACAAAGACTGGTCCATTTATAAGGCTCAGCCTGGCTCCACCCCGGCACTGGGAGCCCTTAGGCCATGTTGTTTCTCTGCTTCCTGGACCATTGCCTCACTCAGGTGGGTGGCACACACCTAAGACTGTGTGTTCATCATCTTCCAATAAAATCTTAGGCAACTCCCAAGGGATTGCACTATTCTAGAGCATTGTTCTGTGGGTAAGGAAACCTAGGGCTGGGTTAGAGTAGGCAATGGGATTGTCTTAAAAGCACAGGAATTGATGTAGAGAACACTGGGTTTCTGGACTTAATGAAGATGGGACTGTGAAAGGCAGCATGTTCTCTGTTTGTGCGTTACCCACTCCGTCCACAAGTTTGTTCTGACATCTAACAAAAGTCTCTCCAGCGGTTTATAAGTCCATAACTATACTACGCATCGCCTTACCTGTCCTATTGATATTCCTCCTAAAGCGTCAAAACCTTATGAGATGGAGCTGTTACCCTCATGTTGAGGATGGGGAATTGAGGGAGTAAGAGGTAAGCAACGTTCCTATGTGCACCAGGCTGATAGACAGCAAGCTCAACATATGGTCCCAGAAAATCCTGATTCCAAACCTCCCTCCTAACCCCACCACTAGACCTCTGGGGTCACTTCAGAGCCTGTGAACTCAAAGTCCAGGGGAGGGAGGCAGGGTCAGCTCACTCCCATGTTCACGTGGTGTCCTCACTGAAATGCTAGGAGAGAAAGAAGTTCCATGACCCACAGTGACAGGTATTACACAGTGAATAGCACATCACCTACAGGTGAGGGAAGAGACAAGGTCAGAGCTTTCAGTTCTGGCGTTAGCCCCAGACTGTTGAACTTCGCTTTGCAGCTTCAGGGGCTGCCTGATCCCACCAAAGAAGTCACTGTCTAGACCAGCTGTGGGCAAACTACGGCCCGCAGGCCGGATCTGGCCCGTTTGAAATGAATAAAACTATTGAAAAAAAAAGACCGTACCCTTTTATGTAATGATGTTTACTTTGAATTTATATTAGTTCACACAAACACTCCATCCATGGTTTTGTTCCGGCCCTCCGGTCCAATTTAAGAACCCATTGTGGCCCTCGAGTCAAAAAGTTTGTCCACCCCTGGTATAGCTGCTCTGATTGGCTGGTAGGAATGATGAAGCAGGAAATTGGGAAATTTTCCCTCCCTCCCGTGATGATGCCTTCCTATGAATTCTTCAATGATGTCCCTCCTTCCCTTATGAAAAACAGTCTGCTTAGGAATCGCTGGCCATGTCTAAGGGTCTGCTGTGTCCCAACCTGATGTAGAAAATCTAGTTCAGGTGCAAGAGACAGGAGCTTGGAGGTTAGGATGAGGCCTGGGGACCTCTGGGGAACGGCCCTGCTGACTCACTGAGGAATCCTTGTTCCTGCTCTCTGCTCCCCTTGGAAGTCCTCCCATGAGTGAGGGGATTGCTCAGGCATTGGGCATCCTGGGACCAGGACCATCGCTGAGCCTGGGCCAACCTCTCCCCCCACCCCCACCCCGCAATGCATTGGGCTTCCACACCTGGCTCTTCTGTCCTCCATTATGTCCACATCTGCACCAGCACCAGACCTCTCTGGTTCACTTATGTAATGTGTTCTCACCACCACTGAGAGGCTGCTGTGAGGATAG